GCTCCGCGGGAGAAAGATGAGGCGATCTGCTCCCGTAAAGATTTACAGCCTCGGAAACCCTGTTCAGGGTCGCTATGGGTCGAAACCGACTCGACGGCACTTAACAACAACAACAACCCCTGGAGTCGACTCGACAGCCCTTGACAACAACAACAACCCCAGGAGAAGGACATCACACTTGGTCAAGTAGATGGTCAGCATAAAAGAGGAAATCCCTCAACAAGATGGAGTGACATGGTGGCTGCAGCAGTCTGCTCACACAGAATAATTGTGAGAATGGCGGACGAGTCAGCAGTGTTTCCTTCTGTTTTATATAAGGTCACTATGAGTCAGAACTGAGCCAATGAAGAAAGGAGTTCATAGAATGAAAAAAGCAAAAGTAAAAGAAAAATGGCTCGCCAGAGACAGATTTCTCTATCAGGGTGAGAAATCAGGGAGAGGATGACAAGGTAACATTATATGGAGCTCACCAAAGAGAGTTTTCCTTTGTAGTAGCAGTTGGGAGAAATCGGTGGTGGCGGCAACGGGATGACCCAAAGTTATGGTGAAAAAAACCAAGTTGTGTCTCTTAATATTTTGCCTAAAACTCACCCTGCTGTTGGTTAATAGTTTTTAATCTTTGTTGTTGTTGTTGTTGTTAAGTGTCATCAAGTCGATTCTAATTCATAGAGAGCCTCTACAGGGTTTTGGAGGATGGAAATCTTTGTGAGAGCAGAATGGCTCATCATTCTCCCATGGAGCTGCTGGTGGACTTGAACCACCGACCTTGTGGTTCACAGTCCAGTGCTTATCCTCAGAGCCATTGTGCTCCCATCTTTAGCCTTATAGTCCTATGTTAATAACTACATGTGTGATTACCTGATGGCTTCTTTTCCTTGGAATTCTGGAGCTACTGGTTCAAAATAATCATTAATGGTGGGCTCAGAATCTGTTTCTTTCTCAGTGAACTTATTATTAGTGCTTTGGTATTGGAAGCAATTCCATGATCTCAGGAAAAATGATAGCGAATAGCGGCGCTCCTTTCCATCTAAGTAATCAAAAGGCAATAAAATATCAGGTCAGCAACACAAATCCACTGAACAGAGATGCCTTAAGCATGATAATGCAGAAGGTCTTGAACTTTTAAGCGTCATAGATAAATTCTTTCCTTTCTAGCTTTCCACTGAGGAAAAGATTTGGTGGTGAAGTAACAATGAAAATCCAGAGGATAATAACATATAATTGCAAAAGCTAAACCATATAATAGAACTTTCAACAAAGTATCAATCAAAAGCTTGAATAAAATTATTTTTAAAGCACTTAGAAGAATATATGAAATCAAATATTTTGGGAAATACAAAATTGTATTCTGGCACATAAGCAAGCATGTTTGGGAACTTAAATCATTTGATCATGACAAAACAATTGATTAGCCTATTCAAATACATAAATAAGAAGTATATGGAGAAATTATATTTGTTTACTATAAATAGGTGGGCATTGTCCAGACTTTAGAAAATATAATCAGATTTGCTAGCAAAGGCTTTTAGATACAAACTGGAAATAAATATAAAGGTAGCATTGGACACAAAGAAATACATGGAAATAAATGGACAATATTAACTATAGTTCATGCCGAAGGAACACATACAATAATAAGGAAAAAAAATCCTGATTCCAGTGCTTAAAGAGAAATTTTTGGTTTATGTGAAAATTTTTTATTATTATCAAGAAAGAGAAAATCTAACAGGGTAATGTTGTTTTTGTTAAGTGCTGTTGAGTCAGTTTCGACCCATAGTGACCCTGTATAGAGTTTCAGAGGAGCAGCTGGTGAGCTTGAACCGCCAACTTGGCAGTTCAAATGGCTTTGCTGTCAGGCACATTAACCCACAGCACCACACCAGAACTCCATCAGGGAGTAATACATTTCTGTAAATGTATTACATGCATTTATAGTATAGTATTTCTATAAATCTCCATAGTATATGAAAAGATTTGAGAATAATGCTGAAAACATCCTTTCTAGTTTTTATTTCTGGTATTTCTTTAAAGGTTGAAAAACTCTCTTTCTGAAATGGTCCTTCCCGAAAAAGAAGACGGTAGGAAAACATTATATCTCAGTAGAGTGGTACTAACGGACAAGTATTGGACTACTAACCATAAGGTTGGCAGTTCCAACGTGTCAGCTGCTCCTCAGAAACCCTGTACAGAGTTGCTATGCATTGGAATTGAACCAATGGCACTGAGCTACAACAATAAAGGTTCTATCTAACTATGATTAATTTACAAACTGCCCCACATTCTTATAAAAAAAAAGAAAAATTACTGAATAAGTGGAACTGCCACAGTGTTATGGGCCTACACACACACAAATTATCTTGTTGTTGTTGTTAAGTGCCATTGAGTTGGTTCTGACACATAGTGACCCTGTATTGGGTTTCCGAGGAGTAGCTGGTGGGTTTGAACTACCGACCTTGAGGTCAAACCAACCTTGAGGACTAGTGCATTACCCTACAGCACCATATCAGGACTAGTTCATCTCATCTTGTCTTGATACAAATCCTAAATATCATTCTTTAATATAGACTCAGGGAGCTTATTAAAGCGTATTAAAATGGTGGCTGTATCTCATTACTGTCTGAGAAAAAACATTATTTTTACACTAAATCTCCTTTAAATCATTACAGCTATAAAGTAGTAATAAAAAATTCATTCAGAGTTCAGTTGGAAATATTTCTTAATCCTCATTTCTGAAAAAGTATTTATAATAACATTTAAAAAATTCTTCAACGTAATCAATTCTTGTAGAAGTCATAGAAAAATTCCCAATGACTTACAGGGTAAGATTCTGTCGAAGTATAATGTCAGTACCAAGTAGAAAAGACCATCAAAAGCCAGCATTGAGAAAGTTCCCATCATTATATATGAGTCTCCAGAAGAATCGGGAGACATTGCTTCATTCATGTTATAATCCACATGGATGATCTGAGTCCAGAAAGAAATAACAAATGCTTAAAGGAAATGAATTTAAAAAGTAATTCAATATCACAGTAGGAATTATTATTTGACTAACTTTTTCAACAAGGCCTTATAATGACGTCAAAATACATATTTATATTTTACTGAATTCAAGGAATATTAGAAGAGATCACTATTAGTTAAAAATACAATAGTCAAGAATAGGATTCATTTGCTTGCTTTCAAGATGCTGTTACAAAATATCATTTCTATGTTAAAAAAAAGGAGTCCTGGTGTGGCGCTGTGGGCTAATGCACTGCAAAGTAGTTTGGATTGCAACATCAGTGGTTCAAGCACACCAGCTGCTCCTTGGAAATCCTATAAAGGGTCACCATGGGTTGGAATCGACTCGACAGCGTTTAACAACAATGTAAAAAAAAAAAAAAAAGGAATGAATTTTAGAAAACAATCCAAGGAATTATTTGAAACATCTCATTAGGATAATAATAAAAGGAATTTACCTCTTTTTCATTTTGATAAAAATAAAGATTCATAATTTTCTCATATAGACAAGGACATCAAAAATTTATGGAAAAATTCCATATCTTTTCATTGCATTTTCTCACAAATTTTTTGAAGCCTCTTCATAATAGGGCTTACACTTACATGGAGCTATATTCTAGGCACGGTTATGAGAGGTCTTTAAATGATCTCACGGAGCCCTTGTCATAACTCTCTGTGGAACATGTATTGTTACTTTCACCTTCATTTTACATACAGAGAAGTTGAGGTACAGATTATTGGAGTAGCTCAGCCAGCCAAAGTCAAATCACATCACTAGAAGTGGGCAAGCTAGAATCTGTATCTATGAAGCTCAGTCCAGGTTCTCAGCCCACATATTAAACCACTTCTCAAACTAGGTCAGAATTAAAATATATTCATAATGAAGCTGACTTTTATTCCAGGAATTCAAAGTTGGGCCAGCATTTGAAAATCAATCCATTTGAAACAACATAGAACAGATTTAAAAAGGGACATTTTGTAGTCAGTCCTAGATACAAACAAAGCATTCTTATAAAATTCAATATCCATTCCAGATAAAGAAACCCTAAGACTAGAAGAGAGCTTTCATTCTGGTGAACAGCATCTAGCATTGTGGTTAACGGTGGTAAATTTCAACACTTTTCATGTGCTTGTGTTTCTAGTCAACATTGGGTCAAAGAGGAAAACAACAACAACAACAACAAAATTGCTATTTGCAGGTGATATGATTATACATGTGGAAATTCCAAGCTGAAACACAGAAAATGTTAGATTTAATTTAAAAGTATAGAAAGAATAAATAAATCAGTTTTATCTCTCTATATTAACAACAGCCCAAAGCAAGCCTACAGCCATTGAGCCGATTCCAACTCATAGTAATGAACGATTTCTTAGGATTTCTGAGTGTGTAAATCTTTATGGGAGCAGACAGACTCATCTGGTGGGTTTGGTGGTAGGTTTGAACCATCAACTTTGCAGTTAGCAGCCCAATGCTTAGTCCACAGAGTCACCAGGACTTCTTACATTAACAGCGAGTATTCAGAAAATAAGTTTAAAAACTGTTTCCAATTTTAATAGAATAAAAAATGCCCAGTACTCTGGAAGTCATCAAATAAAATTGTGTAAGACCTCTACACTGAAAATCAAAATAAGTATTAAAGGAAATTGAAGAATACCTAAATGAATGCACATATCTATACATATACAAAATGTATTTCACGGCCAAAAGAGGTGCTCATTTGCACCAAATTGATTGGAGAATTTAATTGCATCTAAATCTCAACAGCTTTGTGTGTACACATGTCTGTATACATGTAGTTTGGAGTTT